ATCTTGCTTCTGGCAGCACTTCCAGAAGCGCACAGTACCGGCTGGAAGAGGACTCAAATTCCCCACTCCAGCCACGAGCCGCCCCAGTGACCGATGCATGCTGGGATATGTGGTTCCGCTGGCTGAGAAATCTACTACTATATTGAAATGCATTTCGGGATATGTAGTCACGCGGTCCCCGAGAGCCACTCAGCGTAGCTCTGCCTCTCGCACGCGAGGAAGCGGGGACGTGTGAGGTCACTTCCTGCGTGCTGGGTGGCTTCCTACGGTTTCACAGCCCTCGCTCTCTTTTGCGCTGCCTGTCCGCCGCCATCATGGGTCGCATGCATGCTCCCGGGTGAGCTCCGGTTTCTCAGCGGGTTGCAGGGCTCTGCTGCGGGGGTGTGGGCGAAAGGAGGGAGTGTGGGCAGCGGGTCCAGGGAATGACTTGAGTTGCTGTGGCACCGACCGCCACTTCACCTTAAGACTGCTTCTTTCCCCAGGAAGGGCCTGTCCCAGTCGGCCCTGCCCTACCGCCGCAGCGTCCCCACAGTAAGTAGCGTGCGGTGACCGGGGAGAGATGGGGGAGGAGGGTACCATTTGTGGCTCGGGGGAAGTGGTGCCGGGATGGGGCCATAAGGGCCGTGTGTGCATGAGGAGCACGACTTTGAGAGTGGAGGGATCGCTGTGCATAGGTACCATCCCTGGTTTCTCGTTCTAAGGCTGTTTTCTACCAATAGTGGCTGAAGTTGACATCTGATGACGTGAAGGAGCAGATCTACAAACTGGCCAAGAAGGGGCTGACTCCCTCACAAATCGGTGAGTGTTTTCTCTGATGTAGCCCCTTCCGCCTGCCCTCGTGTAACTTCTTGAAAAAGGCCACCCGGGGTTGGTGGTAAATGTGTCCCGTAAGTGTTTTGCAAATCTTCTCTTTTTTCTGTCTTTACTGTTGAGGGCCGAGACCTAGCCTTCATTTGTTGAAATCTCAAATTCTCATTCAGAAGACGGTAAAATTATAAAAACGTTTGCCAAAATTTAATTGAGTATATATACTATCGTCTGGGCACTCTCCTGAGTGCATTGTTTTATGCGTTCTACACATATTGATCTCGTTTAATTCTGACAGCAATACTTTTCAAGTAAATATTAGTAGTTTTCCTCATCCTGACAGTTGAGGAAACTGAGGCACAGTGTAGCTAGATAAGTAGCCCCAAGTCACACTTCTTGAGTGAAGGAGTTGGGATTGGCTACTTAGTGCTTGTTACACTTTCGCCACAGTTAGATATGGTTTGAACCTCAGCTGTGTGTGGCTTAAAAGTTTATTTGGCAAATGTTTGCCTGCTACGTGGTTATGGACACTGAGAATATAGTAGTTGTAAACGGGCAAAATATCTGCTCTTCTGGAGTTGAGTATCTAATGGAGGTATCACACACAATAAGAAATATATAGTAGACTGTTCAGTAGTCAGATGTGCTATTTTGAGAGTTTTTTTAAAAAGTGCATAAAATTTTCAGAAGAAATTCTGATATTCTTAATAAACTGGTTTTAATTGAACAGATGTACACAGCAGG